GAAAAGTGTAAAATTATTTCTCCAAACTTCAGAATAATGCTGTGCATATTGCAAGAAGAATATATCAAAGAAAAAGTTGAGTTTTTTCTGATATAACATGATAATTTATCATAAAACAAAGGGTAAAGTGAGACACTCTTTTTGTGTATCAGCTGCTTTTCCTTTTGTATATTTGTCTGAGGTTATATGTAAATTGATACACTCATCGTTAGACTCGGGTATTATCTTTATAAATTTGAATTTTCTTTTTCTTTAAAGAAAACTGAGTGAACTATAATTAAGATATATATACTTTCAGTTCAATCATCTTTTGAGTCAGACCTTCAGAAAAAAATTGTTAATGCCTTCGAGATCTTTGATCAGGATGGTACAAGAACTGTTGATATAAGGTAATAATAAACATTTTAACCTTATTTTTGTAAATAGTATGATTATGTTTTTAAAGTCTATTTTTAGGTTTTAACAAATATAGTTATATAAACTGTAAGTATATCCAGCATAGATGAATTTTATAGGTATGTAATGGAATAATTAGAACTATCATTTACTTATCAAGGGGATAAATTTGGTTAATTTGTTCCCATTTCTTACACTACATGTATGAAATTCTAGGTTTGCAGAAGTAATTATTTTTATAACTGTTCATCTATAATAATAATAATGAATATTTTTTTTGGTATATAACATTTAAATTGCACAGATAATCATTTAATCATTAATTAAGCTAAGGAGAATTCATTAAAAAGAGTAAATCTGTGCATCTCTCAATGTAGGCTCAGCATATTTCATTTCTGTAGGTACATTTTTAACAATATTGCTGTTACATTTATATAACAAAAATCAAATAATTATGTAATTTCATTATGTTCTGGTACCTTGTAGTATGTAGTTTGTTGAGTTTTTTAAGTGCATTTGGCAACTATGGATTTTTGCATATTTAAGACCTTTGATTACAACAATGCAATCATTATGCCATACATCCCCCCCCCCCCCCACCTAAGGTGCTAGAAATTTCACTTCATGTGATCTTTAAAATTGGACATTGACTTGTGAACGTATTTATAAATATTAAATAATTATTCAACATGCTAAGAAAAAAATGCTTAGTTTTACAAAGTACATTTTTCCTGTAAGTAATTCTATGGAAGAATGGGAATACTTGTCAGAGGATGAAATAACTCGTAAACATACTTAACATTTTTATAAAACTGAATATAACACATAAAAGGACAAGTTTCTGCTGGAGATTGGATATGCTCAAAATCAAAGAAGCCACACAAATCAAAATTCAAAAATCAGCTCTAAACAGAAATTAGAAACTTGTGGAACCCATGTTTCACTAAATCTCAACATTCCAAAACATAACTTTTATTCGGGACCATTACAGAGGTCATAGATGTACTTTACAACACCAGAACTTTTCTATCACCTACTTAAAAAACCCTACTTTTCTATGAAACAGAGACATGAAGAAGTCACATGAAGATTGAAATGTTGTCAAAGAATTATTCACAGGTTATTCCTATACCTACAGTTATACCAAAACGTTTTTATAGTTCTAGTTTGGAATATAATAAATCTGGTTGTGGTCATGTGCCAGCTCAACTGTAGCCATTACATTCTAGAGTATGATCTGATCAAGAGAGTTATTTATTATTTCACAAGGTAGTTGTATTGTTTCCTACATTAATTTTTTATATATGTGGGAATGCTTTATTTCTATGACACGAATCAGAGATATTTTTGGATACTAGGAATCTTATTTGATTGGTTAGTTATAGAAAGAATAGACATTATGAGTGTGGTTTTATCTCTTTCTACAATGAAAAAGCCAAGACCTGTGCTTTTGTGTAGGTCCTTTTTTTATTATACATGCTGACCATACACTGTTATATTTTAATTTCAGTTCTTCTTTCAAGTTTATATCAGTTTCATAATTCAGTTCTTCAGTTTTATTTTACCTTAATATCATTGTTTCAACCTGGAAGACCTGTAAAGTTATTATAGAATTTAAAATAAATATTACTTTGTTCTGTGCTTGTCAAACTTGTTTTTATTTTTCTTCTGTACCTGTTCATACTCTAGCATTCCATTAAACCAAATCTTTGAACCTTTACTTGTGTGTTATTCCTCTAAACCTGGAATACCATAATGTTTTTGTTTAGTTTCAAGGATATGACACCTGAGAATTAAAAAAATTGTCATCTACAGACTTGCATGTTTTGGTTCTATAGAGGAATGTATTGACATTGCTTCAAGAGGCTGTTTACTTGTGTAGAAGAACATGATTCCAGGAAACTTGAACTTAATTAAGTATTTTAACAATATGTATATCATGGGATGTATAGAATTAAAACAATATTTGTGTTCCTAATTGTTGTGTTACTTTGCTTTTGTGTTATAAGTATGATAGTAACTTATGTATGTCCCAGTTATAAAACAAGCAGTATATCAGATGATTAATTTAGAGAAATAAGATTATTGATACAGACATTTACATAAATTTTTATCAATTTAGTTGTTTTAACTGCAAAGTTCTGCATAATAAATGTATAGGTTTTTGTATTATATTGATGTTATAAATATTTAGCTGTTACAACTATCTAACTCACAGTTACAAATATTAATTTAATTTTTTTTTCCCTGCAGAGAAATAGGAACAATAATGAGATCTTTGGGATGTTGTCTCTCAGAAGCTGATCTGCAAGATATATTAGTTGAGGTAAAAAGGAAATGCTTTTGAATGTTTTTAAATGTCCACCTTATAGTAAACAATAGAGTTGGACGATCAATAGAATTTACTAATCGATTAATAATCAGACACATTAATCACTTATATTGAACTAATCAATTGATATTATATAAGAATAATTTTCATATTAACAGCTTGTTTTAGGTTTTTTAAAGACGTTTTCAAAATACACTTTTTTTTTTAATATGACAGAGATCTTCAGGTACAACAAAAATAAAACTGTCTTAGCTGAAAATGAAACATATAGATAAAAGTTTATGGCAGATGTTGCAACACAGTTCTCTTCCCTCCAGTCAGCACTTGAAAGTAAAAATAAAAATTGGTGATGGTAGCTGGCAGCTAGCTGTCTTCTTTCTAGTCAACAATGTAAAATTAGTGACAGTGGCAGATAATCTAAATAACTTTGCAATAACAAAGACTGGATGAGCAAGTTTGGTGGAAGTGATAATCAAACTTTAAACCCTTGAATTACGAGCGCCTCCCTGAATCTGAATCAATAAAGCTGAACAAATTTGTAGTAAACAAAATCTTAAAGGCCAAAACTGAGTTGGGTATAGATGGAACATTATGTAAGTTTGTGCTTAACAACAAATATAAAATGAATAAATGATTACTTGGATAGTTGGAATAATAAAAAATAATAATAATCAAAAACTAATTACTTGATTATTCTTGTGACAGTCAATTAAACCATAATTTTGATTAATTGTTTGTTGGAATAATTAAAAACACTGATTTTGATTAGTTAGTTAGTTTACATGATACTTGTCGAGGTAATCACTTCTCACAACTTCTGGACCTTCACTAGCAACTCTGTTGTTTTGGCAACTTGTTTGCTTTCATGCTGTTTTGTACTCCAGCTTTTATAAGTCTGAAACAGGCTAAGATTTTAAAACCGGGACTAAAACATGTGATTTTTACCTTCCACACCCTTATTGTACACATAGCACAAATCAGTGTATAGCTGTTTTGTGTATGGCCCAAATTTAAGTCAACAGATTCTTAATATTCACTGCAAGTTCCCAAGCATAGTTATTGGAATTCTTAGGCTCGTCTCAGCCCATCTAATCTCTGTTCTCACTCGTTTTTTAGTAGGATGTCTACCTTGAGAGCTCTAATTTTCTTTCATTCTTCTGCTTATTTCTTTGCTGATGATCTTCTTTCTGGATATTTGATGCAATTACTCTTATGCTTTTTTATATTTATGTCTTTTTTTTTTAAATCCTGACAGCTTAGTTGTTTCATGGGTATCTGTTTTCACCGATAAGATGAACTGCTTGTTGTTGTTCAAGAATTCCTTACTAGAAGTCTAGCCTTTGAATAAACACGTGTTGGCAACTTACATTCCACTGATGCTTGATTTTATTATGAGGTCAACTAGGGCTTTAATTACCATCAGTGGTTCTAACTACAGCATAATATACTGCCCTGTGGTTTGTCTTTTAGAATTAGACAGTGCAAACGTTATTCAATATTAACCATTTGAGTGCATAATTAATTTTGGGTGGGTTCTATAAAAGTGTCATTTATCCATTACAAAATGAAATTTAGAATTTGACCTTTTTTGGTACTTTTTCAATATAAAAATCCATTAGTTGCACTTTTGCACATGTGCAGTACTAAGGCAGGAAATTCAAGGACGTGTGAGTATTCCGATTGTTGCACTATGGGGAAAAGTTTTTGTGACACCGTGGGGTAAATCTGCTTGTCACACCAAATGGCTATAAATATCAAGTTGGATAAACCCGATTAAAGCATCCAAAGGGTTAACACCTTTTATACAAAACATTTGCTTCATTATGAAAAGTTGATGCATTAACACTGTCAGTTCCCTTAATAATATTAAATACCTCAATCAGATTCTCTCTCTAACTCTTCTTTTTTTTCCAGAGAAAACTATTTCAGAGATCTTACCCTCTTCCTGTATGACAACCTTTCCGTTCCAAGCATCATCTTAGCAGCCTTCCTCTGAACCTTTTACAGCAATTCATTGACCTTCCTAAGGTATGGAGCCTAAGCCACATACCATTTATTCACCCAACTCACCAGATGATCTAAATCCTTTTGTAAAGCAACAGTATCTTTCTCACAGTCAGCAGTATCCAAAATCATAATATCATCAGCAAATTTAAGTAACATATTGATCATTCCTATATCTATCATTGGTGTAAATCATAATGAGCAAAAGTTATAACACTGAGCTCTGAGGTATCCCACTTGTGACATTAAACCTGTTTTACTGAACTCTGTTTATAACAACCCTCTGCTTTCTTCCATCCAGCCACTTTTCTATACATGAACACATGACTTTTGAATCATTGGGCAAGTGCTGTAATCACTGCGCCATTTCAGGCCAAAGTTAAAAAACCTACTTTAATAAATCGAAAAAGAATAATGAGAAATCATAATGGCAATATTTTGATTACGTTAATAGTTGGAATAATTGGAAACACTAATTTTGATTAATTGATTAGTTTCTTGAGGTATGGCATTAATCAAGACACATGGTACTGTGTCGTGTGGCCAAAACAACCTTCAGGACACACTGTGTGTTATTATCAAGAGTGATAGTTTAGCGATTTTTTCACTTTTTTGTAGCTCGGAATGTGGTAATCAAAACTATCACATATTTTCAGTGGATGTTCTCTACTGGACCTTTACTTCACATACCAAATTTCAAGGCAGTCCAATAAGAAATAAAGATATAAAATCTCCAATTAAATTTTTTCCTCTTTTTTTTTTCTTTGCACTGAAAGTACGGAAAATTTTTTGGATAGAAAAACATACTTTCAGGAATACACTGTTTAGTTTCATACACTGATAGATCTTTTCAACCTACAATTAGGAGTATCAATTTGTGTTAATATAAGCCACATATGCAAAGTTATTCAACAAAACTGCTCAAATTTGACAACAATTTTTGTGCATGTCTTCTCAAAAAGTCGCATGGGCTATTGGTCTAACGTTTTCACTACAGCTTAATCTAAGAGTAAAAGTGGGCTGTTTTTAGTATTTTTGTCATTTGGATTAAAGACGGCTGAATTAGAATAGCAAAACTATAAGGTGAAAGGACGAGTAAATACATAAGTATTGGTTAGGCCAAGCAAACTAGATTAGTAGTTTCTAGCTCAAGTTTTAAAAAAAATCATATGGGTGATGGTTATTATTCATTGCCAACTTTTCAACACAGATTTACAAAATTTTATAAAATTATCCTAATTAAAGAGCATTTAGCTTCATGTGATACTAGCTTAAGCAATTAGCATAAATAATGATGCTTGATGGCTGAATTAGAATAGCAAAACTATAAGGTGAAAGGACGGGCAAATACATAAGTATTGGTTAGGCCAAGCAAACTAGATTAGTAGTTTCTAGCTCAAGTTTTAAAAAAATCATATGGGTGATGGTTATTATTCGTTGCCAACTTTTCAGCACAGATTTACTAAATTTTATAAAATTATCCTAATTAAAGAGCATCTAGCTTCATGTGATATTAGCTTAAGCAATTAACCTAAATAAGGATGCTTGATACAGTTGTAACGGGTGCATGTGGGTGATGACAAGAAACTGTTAATCTAGGTTCTATGGTGTTACTATAAAGGAAGTTATTAAAACTGTTTTTGAGAGGAAAACTACCACCATATATTTTAAAGAATCTGGTTGGTTCTGTAAAGTATAGGTCTGTTCCGAATAATAGGGTTGTGATCCTAAAGCTAATGTTGGTTACTATTGAGTGTCACTTTCTTACTTGCTGTGGTTTGTTGGTGTGTATTGACAAAAAATCATGATATCTAATCCAAAACATCTTAAGTATGAAAAAAAGGTGTGGCCAGCAAAGAATTGAATGTGTGACTGGTAGCAACACTTATAGCATTGATAAGAATTTTACTGCAAATATTCATTCATTAGTTAGCTAGGCCATATATATTTTGTTTTACCCACCATCATGCCCAAGTTGAAACAAAAAATATGGCCTGACTAACTAATGAATGAATATTTGCTGTAAAATTCTTATCAATGCTATAAATGTAACTACAAGTTTGGCCAGCAATTTTTATTTCATTTCTTTAAGTTGCATGCTCAATCCGTTTTTGGCTGCACCTTTTTTTTTTTTTCACATCTAAGGTGTTTTTGATTAGATAGATTAAACTGAACAAACTTGAATTAGTTGAAAATAATAGTGAGAAATCATAATCACAGTATTTCAAATACTTGTGATATGAATTGATTTAATTGTAATTTGAAGTAATTAGTAAGTTTATGATGTACATCAGATGCTCATAGGTAATCAGTTATATCAATTAAACAAGTTAATTGCCCATCTCTAGCAAACAGAAAGTAAACTCTTGTTGTTAAGTTGTTCTCTTAATAACTTGTGAGTTGTTCCACTTTTGATGTGTCAGAATGATTAATGTTTTAGTCAAGAACTTCATGATCTTGAGCTAATTTTTTTTTCATCTGTGTTGGAGTTAAATTTTAATTTTAGTTTACTGTTTTATGTGTTTGATTTGTAAGGTAGGGTTTTTAGGTTTTAGTGATAGCACTGTTATATAAATGTTAGAAGTTAAGTTTAGACAGATAATGTCATAAATTTTTTGAACTGTAAACTGACATCAGCAAGGCTTCAACTCGCATTCCTGATTGCTAAGGTGGAGCTCTAACCAACTAATGTTTTGGTCTTGAATGCTACAAGCTTCAGTCATTGGTTTATTAGGATGGAACTTGGCCAAAATCATTAAGCTACATTATTAGGTCTTTAAAGCTCAGAATTCATGTATTCACCTTTTGTATTAGATGTGCTAAAATGAAATTTTATCTTAATGGGAAATGTTAATAAAAGCAAGATATATATGTGTTTTCAATTTTCTAAAGGGAAAACTGCACGAGACCAAGAAGTATTCATGCATGCATTACTATTTATGGTGTAAAATCTCTATCTAAGTGAGCTATCAGATTCAAATCCTATTGGTCTTAGTCTTCATTTATTATTATTGTGATAATGTTGGTAGGATTCTTGAAATATGCCAGTTGGCCTTTAAAGCTAAGAATGTAAGTGTAAATATGTTTTTTTATATATGATGTGTTGAAATTAAATTCTGAATAACAAATTAACAATCCTAAATAATTATTGTGAACTTATTTTTGTAATATTGTATGAGATTAATATTGTTTCATATTCAAAGATTTACCTGATGTGACTGTTGTTTTGGTGATTTCCTGTTTGGTAAATATTATCACAATAACTGTGCACATATTCTATGATAACAACTGCAGCCTTGTTAGAATGAAATTAAATGATATATGTTTTTTATACATTTTCAGTGTTTAATATAAGACTATGTGTATTTTAGTTTGCAAAACTGACCAATAAGAAATAAACCAAACAAAGCATATCAGCATTTCTGTTAATTGGTAAATACTGGTCAGAGAGTGTTTCAAAAGTCAGGTGACTGGCAAAGATGGAAATTGCTGGACTGTTCAACTGGCTGAAAAACTTCTGTGAGGAGTAGCTGTTTTAGCCTGCATTTTAAGTCAGTCTTAATTTTAAAGGAAATGCTTAAAATATTCTCAATCTTTATTTTTGTGTCATGTGATGCATCTGAGCACTGCTTTCTCTAATTCAGAATTTGCTAACATCCAAAATAGGCTGCTGTAACACAAATTATATATAATTAAAAATAAGAATCTAAATTTTGAGCCTTCTACCTTCTTGTCTTTGTCAAATCACCAGAGAAGCCTCTCTCTCTCTCAAACTTTCCAGATTGTTTGGTGATCAAATTTATGTGGTTGATGGACTTCTTTAAAATCAACAGAAAGAGCATATCCTCCTTTACATAAATCTTACAAATCACTGTTTAGATTTTGCACCATAAGCCATTATTCAACAGAATTACTTGGTATGTGGTTATAATTTTTTATGCTCTGAATGCTAAAAGGTTTTTTTTTTTTTTATAAAAGAGTTAGCACAAAGGATCACATATAAAGTGTAATAGACTTGAAATAAGACCCCAAAACTCGAGCACCTTCGAATAGTTGACTATTCTTCTTTGAGAGAACAAAGGTTTTATAGACCTATTTATAGTTTATTTCATAATAATTCACAGCATAACAGTCATTATTCATGAAATTTGATGGTATAAATAGTCCATAGACCACTACTATATCTGTCAGATCCCAGCCAGTTTTATCAGCCCTGGTATTGGGTGAAAGGCCTTGTAAACATTAGATATGGTGAATGCAGTGTAGTTAACATAGTATTACATATTCTTCTTTACTTTTACTCATAAGTTATTAGGATTACTAATGTAGTTTTCTCCAGTTGATGCTGCGGTTGCTCGACACACTCTGTGAAGAAAAAAGACTAGCTTTCTAGTTTGCCAGTTCTTCTGAATGATGGTAAAAGTCATTCATATAAGGTAATAAAAATAAGATAACTAATTAATGTTGTGTTACTGATTTTTACTCGAAAAATTTGATTTGTAAATGATGTAAGTAATTACAATTCACTTATTTAATCTAGTTCATACCATAAGAGTCATTGTTCATGAAAGTTGATGATATAAATAGCATCTAAACCATTACTATGTCTGTCATATCATAGCTTGTTTGATGAGCCCTTCTGTTGGATTAAAGGCATTGTCAGCACTGGATATGGCAAATGGAGCATAGTTGAAATTTTATAACATATTCTTCTTTACTAAAATGAGTATTTGAAAGCTACATCAACTCTTTTTTTTTTGGACATCCAAATTTGTGAGATTCAGTGAGGCTTATAGAAGAATGTTTAACATTTGAAAATGTGCAAAAATACTTGAGTATGCAGTAATTACCACAAGTCATTGTTTTTATGTATATATTTTATTTCTTGTTATATATAGTTTTAACAAAAATAACTAATGTAAAAATGAGAAACTTCTTAGCTTAGGATAACAAAACTTCAATAAAGTAAGATGCATAAATGTTCACAAGCTTGAGCATTTTGTGAAACATTAAACTCAGCAATCACATGGTGTTTACGTTAGCTTTATAGGAAATAGTCAATGGGCTCCTGCTGTGATTTATTGGTTTTGATGTGAAGATTTTAGCAATAAAACCATAAAATTAAAAGGAATGGAAACAAATGTGAAAGAAAACTTTTAATATTTGTTTAAGAGGTTCTAGAGATTATGCAAATGAAATATTAAAAAAAAGTATTTTTATTTTTAGCATAAAAATCACCTTTTGCTCACACTGACTCAGTAAAATCTTTGGATATTCACAGACAAATCTTTAGGGAAAATACTTTATTGAAAAATCAAATTTTATGTGTACAACACATCTGTAATGTTTACTAAAAGCTTTTCAAATACTGTGAAGACTTACGTAGTAAATTCAGAATTATAGTAAACATTAGTACATGTTCCAAATTATAGTGCAGGGTGGAAAAATTTAGACTTCAAATATAATGATTGTACAGCTTGAAATCATAGTATGAAATTTAATTTTGTGTTTTTTGTTAAAGATGACTGAAAAAATAATAATTGTGCAGACCCAAACAAGCAATGTGCAAAGTGGAAAATTTCACTAAAATTAATAATCAAACAGGTATGAATATTTGAAACATGAAACTTGACCAAGCTTGTAAACAGGTGATTAATTTGCTTTTCTAGGTTGAAGAATTTTATTCCAATATTATTTGTTTCTCCATAAAAATCCATATGTTTATCAGTTTATTAAGAGTGAACAGGTGTCGGACGACCACTGTGGCTGGTGAGGTTTTTTTTCTAGTGGGAAGGCTACATATGTTATCTGAGTGTACTGGCATACCATTTTTACTCTTCATTTGAGAAACTTTTGTTAATTGAACTTATGATTAGATTGTCACATTCTGTTCCCTCTACAAAATAAATGTTATTAATGTGAAAGGTATAAAGACAAATATAATAAAGCGGTCATTATTAATGTTTTTATGGGAATAACTGGTGACCCTTTTCATTGTTGCGTGAATTAAATACATCAAAGGCTTAAAACATTAGCGGTGGAAAATATTTCAGTTAATATTTTTTAATTGTGTCCAAATTTATTTTGTGTTGATGCAAAGCTGTTGATTTAATCATCATTGTAAATCACTTTAAAATATGTCCTGGAAAAGGGATGTTTTTTTCATAATTTGTTTAAATAATACTACAATATTGTACTGACCACCTTCAATCCCATGTGGCAGGGTGAAAACTTCTAGTCTTATCATTACTTAATAGTTGATAAAGAAATCTTAACATTTTAGAAATCAGAAGTATGGGGTCTACTCTTCATACTGCAAATTTGAAAATGGAAAGAAATAGTAATATATATATAAAATCATCTCTACTGACAATATGATGTGATATATGCATTTCAAACGTATATATGAAACATAAATTGTATTTAAAAGTTAGGAATTTATAAACAGCTCAATTTCAGAAAATAAATTAGGTGTGAAATTTTATTCATTTGGTATTTTTAATTTTTTTTCCTAACAATTATGCTATTTCTATCATAAAAACAAAAAAATGTAATTTGTTTTTGAAACAGTCTTCTACCATTTCTCACAAAAAGTGAATATCTTTGTAAGAATAAACTTCCACATCTATAATTACATAATTTACATATTGTAAAGTTTAATACTATGCATGACTTGCAACTTTACATTTAAGAGAAGTGTTCATTGTTTTATTTGTTATTATGTTGCAAGAAACTATCACATAGTGTTTAAGTTACAATTCAGAGATAAAGTAAATTTTTTATTAAAATAAAGTTAAACATGTGAACAATTATGTGTATCAATAGGTAGGTAAGACCACCTAGGTATAATACACAAGATAATTTGTTTAGTTTTCATGTTCATAACTTTAAGCATTATAATAAAGTTGAGATCCACTATTATAGAACAAGAAGTTTATGTGGAAACAAAAGGTAGACTGAAGAGGACACGTGAAAGTGTTGAAACTTATTTCCATATAAAGTTTTTGTTTCATAATAGTAGATCTAAACTTTTTTTTAGATTACTTTATATCATATTGCATATTTATCTACTATTTGAGTATTATGTTTCAGTTAAAAATTAAATTCAGAACTGAACTAGACCAGGACTGTTATTATGTTTTAACCTCAAGAAAATTTTAAAAAAATATTTAAGTAGAGGTAGGTAAAAGATCAAATAAGATAACTTGCAATTATAGTTGTAATTGATACATAATTTTATAAATTACAAATATATGGTGATTAGCACTGATGTGCAAACATTTGTGGCCAACTGTGTAATTTTATGTAAGAAAAAAATGTAACAAAATTTTTGTGTGTGTACAGTAAGGATTTCTGATATCTTATTTGAGAAATATTTCAAATAATAATAATAATACATGTAACTTATATTTGTTATTTCAGCTTGAAGATGAGGACTCACCAGGATATGTAAATTTAGAAACATTTTTGCCTATGATGACAAAATTTTTGTTAGACCAAAGGTATGTGTGAACATTTATAATGTCTACATAATGTCATGAATTTGTGTTATAAATATTGTTTTAAATTACAATTATATACATATGTTGCCTGATGACTGTAACTTTTACTAAGATTTTTTCATTTTTGAAACATTGATTTTTGTTAATTTATTATAAAAAAATATGAAGTTTTATATTTACCTGTGTTGTATACAGAGACATCTCAAAAGTAAATAGACACCATGATGTTTATTCAATAGTCATTTAAGTAAGAAAGGCATCCAATGGCTCTCATGGCTAAGTCAGTCACCTGAGATGAACCCCATCGAGCATGTCTGGGCCATACCTGCTCGAGCAGTGAGAAGAAGTTCCAGAAAACCAGCATCCCGTGGAAAGCTACTTGATGTTTTGCGTGCAGCCTGGGTCAAGATCCTACAGGAGAAAATTGTAGAACTCGTCGATTCCATGCCAGAATAAGTCAAAGCACTGAAAAATGCTAGTGGCAAATCGACTAAGTACTGATGCACATTTGTAAAAATTGTTGTTAAGATGATAATGTGAGATAAATGACTATTGAAAAAATTATGGTTTCTATTTACTTTTGAGATGTCTCTATGTATTAATATAATTACATGAACTTTTTTCCTTTTGTGATGAAGATATTTTCTTGTAATTTGAAAGTCTGATCAAGTAAAAAGTAACCCAGTTAATAACTGTAAAACAATTTTTTTGATTCTTCCTCATCATTGTTGCAGGAAGTCTGTTTTAATATTGATCCAGTAAATTATAGACTCTTCATTTACTGCACTAAGAGGTTAAAACATACTTTTTTTTTCTATGCTTTAAAACATTTATCTATTCTGCACTACATTTGTATTATTGTCTAAATAGGGTTTAGCAAAACAAAGAAAAAAACCTTTGCTTTGTAAAGGAAGACATGTAAAGGGCATTGTTTTGGCTTCTTACATACATCAGCTACTTCTAAAATACATCTTCAGTATCTGGAAGAATAAATATTCTAATTTCTTCATTTTGATTGAAAAGTATTGTGTATGGGAAGGCATCTCACAAGTTGTTCCTATTTTTTAACAACAAATTAAATTTTTGTAACTTTATACTCTTTGTATGAATCATACCTTTTTTTATCCATAAACAAATTTATTAATCTTTCATTGAATATGCTTGGTTGATTCTTTCCACTCACTTTTCATCTGCACTGTGGAATTCAACAAACAGATCTGAATTGGTGTATACACTATTCCAAAACATGAACAGGTACATGAGGAAGTAATAATACATAAATGAAAATCATTGAGCCTGTTTGTGCTTTGTGTACATGCTTTTCAATTGCTTGTGAAGAGAGTTTTGTGTAGCAGTGAACAGTGTCAGGCAAATCTGGCTATCTATGGTAGGCAGGATTAGTGCAAAATAAACATGATAAGTGTAATCTAGGGCATCTATTTGACATGTTTTCAAATGTTATTTGATGGAAAAAGGAAGTATAATGACAAATTGTTTAGTGTTCATTATCCATTAGAACATACCTCAAGATTTCAGCTGTAGAAGTTTTTATTTAATTGAAGACTTTATCCTTGTTTTATCATAATTCTACACGAAGTTCAATAAAGTTTTAATTCTTTCTATCTACATGGTCTAGCATCCACAGAGTTTAGTGCACTATCAAGGAAAGGGGCAGTTTATGTGATTAGATGTAGAACACCTAAATCTCTGTTATAATAGAACTTGAAGTGTGTAATTTTCAAATATTGCACATGAAAATTTGTTTTAACAGTTGTGAAGTTTTGTGCAGAATTAAGTTTTATATACTTGGATATATTAGTGAAAGCTAGTTAACCATTAATTAAAAAATATTCACTGTGTCAGTATGGGGGTCTTTACTTGATGATAAATAACAACTGTAAAATTTTAATGCAGACATAATAGTGATGAAATGTACATATCCCAGTGTGTGTCGTTTTTAAAAGATTTAGTACTTAGATCAAATATTAAGTATATATTTTGATATTTATCAGTTCTTTATGCTGATATGCAGTATGATATTGATTTATTTGAAAAAGGTTTGATAGTTTTAAAAGATTTTATAATATTTTTTATGTGAATATTTGTTGGATGTTTTTGTAATTTCTTGTTATAAATTTGGCTGCTAACTAACATTGATGTGATGTAGTATTTTAATTATCTTGTATTTAAATCATAAATGGAATTTTTTCCTTTTTGAGTGTATTACAAAAAATATCAAGACTTACAACATTTAAACTTTAAGAGCTGAAACATGAGAGGTAATACAGAGAATGTTCTGAGAAACCACTCAGTTAATAACAGCGGTTTAGTGATGTTCTTAGAGTACTTGTAGAGATTGTAATTTTAATGTTTCATGTTGTTAATGAATTACTACAAAATTATTTTTATCTCACAAGGAGCTGAACATGTTATAGGAATATGACATGATAAATGTACTGGACTCAAGTTAGTTAAGGAAATTATATGCAACAATAATAACATTGTCTGCCACAAGAATCATGGAATGATTACAAGACATAATTGGACCCACTGATAAATGTGGTTTGATGCACAGACTGCAAACTCTAGAGGTCGCTAATGCTTTGTTGGGGGTGTTGTTTCTATGTGTTTATTTTCACCTTCATTAGATCTGTTTATGTACATACTCTTCAAGAGTGTAGAGGCTGCTCTTCTGGGCATATGAGTTATTAGTTGATAGGCTACCTTGATATCATCTGCTAATCAACCTTTTGGTGTTATAAGCTGTATACAGTGCATAGTTGTTTTGTTCGATTGTGATAATGCTGCCATCTTGCATATCAACAACCAGGATGGCACTTTGTTGCACCTACTATTTTATTTCTATTGTTGAAGTGAGCCCATCAATGTCAGTTTTGTTTCAGGAGTTATTATCAGTTAGATTTTATTTTAACAGAACTTTAGATGGCTGTTTCACATTTTGAAGATCCATCATTTGAATGAGTTTATGATCTTTTTTAAAGAACGAGTCTTGTTTATTAGTTTTCTTGTTCCTTGCTGTGATTGTGTTTGCAAAAACAGTGGATGACCTGTCAGCCTAGACCAGTTTTCTTTTTCTGAACAATGTCTGTTGGGTGTTTCTGCTTTAACAACCACAAATTGTAGTCTTTGAATACATTTTTGTTGGTTACTTTCATGTTGGTCACTATTAGTGATGCAGGATTTACTCACCTAATAGACTGACACCCTCTTACCATCTCAAACTTTCACTCATGATATATAAGTCTTGATTGCTTTTATTGTTGATTTCTGTTGTTATTCTTCAAGAATTAATTACATTCTTCCAATTTAGAGGTACGAAGTGCACTGAATGCATTGCATCAGAAAAGCATCTCCTGTGGCCTATGTTAGATGTTCATAGTTTTTGTCATTGAACTATATATTGGTAAAATATATATTGAAATTTATTCAGAAAGTTGTATATTGAATTTATAAAAGGGTCATATGCTTGTAAAGATTTTTTTTCACAAAGAGTTATCAACAAAGAAACCGTTGTAACAAAAATAAGTATGTTAATTTTGTGTAAATTAGTTTAAAAGTTATCATACATATACAAGGTTTGTCAAATAATACTGAACATTTAAACATTGAAATTTCATTTGCAGAAAGAATTATATGTTCTGAATAACGTGTGAAATACTGTAAGATATTGGTTAAAACTTTAAAATGTGCATTTCAGATGATGCATCTTTATGTATAATAATTAATTTCCATCAGAAAATGGTAAAGTTAAATTGTAGCCAAAATATTTGTTTACAAATGATGAAGAGTTGTTTCTAAGTTAGAATCTGCCATTCTTGAAGTAAGTTTTATAATAATCACAAGTCTGAAAAACTATGAGTTGTCACAACTGCAACTCCTAAAAATGAGGACATAAAATACTTCCCAACTGCAACTCAAACCAAAACCACCTCATCGACTAGTGAGGTACCTTTACCAGCAACCAGTCATGACTCATTAAAACTTCTTTACCAAATGTTTTATATACAAATTCTGATCTAAAAACAGAAGACTTCTGAAGTGTCATCTTCATAGCCTTCTTTATTGAAACCCTTTTGGTAAAGTTCTGCTATCTATGCAAAGCAGTTGGTGCCCATTTTCATCCCTTTTTCATCAATAATTACTTATATTCATATGTTAAGATTAATATAAAACCTTGAACAATTAAGTTGGATCAGTATATTTTTATAATAATTATAAATCACTTAGCAATTATCCCATGCTTTGCTGAATGTTGAGAACTATTTTTTTTCACAAATTTTTCCAAGTTCCGATATGGATCATCATAAATCCAGTTGTCACCTACTAAATTCAGTCCTAAGTTGTGCTTTTTATAGCAGGGTATGATTATAGAAACTATCTATGATGTCACAATGGACAGTTGTGATACAGTTTCCAAAGAAAGTAAACTGTTAATGCAATTTGTCCAGTTTCAGACAGATTCATTGTGAATTTGAAAGAGTATGAACTTTCCAATGAACTCCACTTTTTGATCAATCAGTTCTTCCAGCACCTTCAGTTTGTGTGTGGTTTAGCATTTTTAACAAAGTTTATTTTTATCTGTATTTTGTTAAACACAGTTATCTTTTACATACTCATGCCATTTAGATATAGTTTAGTCCCATGTGGCTCAGCAGTCAGTCTGAGAGCTTATAATGCTAAAAATCGGATTTTGAAACCAACGGTTGGCAGAACACAGATAGCCCATTGTGTAGCTTTGTGAACAGCAACAAGTAAATAAGATACAGTTTAATTCAATAATTTATTTTATTTTTCAACTTTAAATGATACAATGGTCCTGCAACCACCATTATTCTGGTTCTTTTTTTGTCAATAAAATGCATTATGTTTATTTCAACTTCTTACCATATTTCATCTCGTTAATTCTGCCAACAACAAATCGCGACATATGTTCTTCTACTAGATCCTTGGCTGTCTAGTTGTTGCAGATACTGGGAAACTATGTACTTTGTTTATTCTTGAATTACCAAATTAGTTTGGGACCCATTAAAGAAAGTTCTTGTTTCAAAATATCTGAAACCTACTGTGTTGTTTAAATTTTCTATTTATCATGTAATAATTGGAATGTTGCATAAACACTGACTTAATTCCATTCCACTGATGTGAAATTAAAATGTGTGTGAGAGAATAAGAGAGAGAGAAAATATTTATTTTCTCATTGTGCTGAATATTATTTTTTTTCAGGTTTCACCCAGCATCAAGTAACAAACTTTTGCAAGCTTTCCAAATGTTTGATGCCGATAAGAAAGGATATTTGACACAAGCAGAATTAACTCATTTTCTTACACAAGATGGTAAGTTGTATAGTAAAATACATTGAATTTTTTTATTAGTTTTTCATATGCTGTTTATAAAGTTTTAAACTTTTGCATTTGTTCAACCAGATGAGACACACACAGATACACATATATATATATATATATATATATATATATGTATGTATATATACATAAACAGGAATTTTTTTGTGCATCACATACAATATCAAACAACTTTGGTTTGGAAATATCGACATTGTTTACTTTTTTAGATCACGCCTAAGTGAATCAGCATTTCATTATCCCAAAACTGGTAGATTTTATCCACCATTTAAATCAAGAAAGTACACAGTTCTTTAGTGAGTTTGGGTTTAGAAATTACTGTGTTGGCTATAAGCATTTTAGTAATGTTAACACTGCACAAAACAAAAATTATAAAAAAATGCAACACAGTTATCAATTCATTGAGTTTTTGTAAGACAGTTTTATTGGAGTTTGATGCACGTTAAGCTCTAAGAATTTAAGAGTTTATAAACAAAATTCCATTTTGATTTCTAAAAACTAATTAACACACCTTCTTTTCTCAAAGCTTCTGCCTTGTAGGACCATTCTTCAATGTTTCTGCTGCAGTCAATACATTTACTCTCTCCCTCAGAAAAAACGTTATGATTTATAATTGTTAAAATAAGTATCCAAGGTTTTTCTATAAGTAACAAAAATGAAAAGGTTTCTTACTAATTATGTTATTATATAAGATCAAATGGGTGTATTTTCATAAGAATTGTTAAGTATATAGATAAATGTAATAATACTTACACACAAAAGAGATAAAATTAGTTATGTTATGGTTTCTTTAATCCTTTGTTTGATTCAGATAACTTCCTTCCTTTATGATATGATAATATTTGTGTTGATACAACATAAAATTAAAAAAGTAAAAAGTGGTAATGTTAGTTTTGTGAAATTTATTGAAATTTGTCATAATAATTTTGTGGTTTTTATAATAATAGAAATGTAAATTGAAGATATGAGAAATAACCTGTATTACTAAGATGATAAATTTTGAGGTTGTTATTATAATTTAATTTTGACAGATTGGAATGTATTTAAGAGAATCAGTAGGGACAAGGCCTTGTAATCTCTCTTTCTCTATGCATTCAAGTAAAAAAAAACTACAAAAAAGGAAGTAAATGTAGGAATGGCTAATATCAATCCTTCAAAAATAATGCAAACAAGATAGTAGAGATGGCACTTGCATCATCCCTACATAATAGCACAAGCACATGGTGTAGTAGAATGCAAACAGACAAAAATAGGATAAATTAAACTCAATTGTGATTGAATAGTTACTTATACTAGCAGAAATGCCTCCCTATGGGCAGCTGTTTGTACCAGTAATTACTAATTGTAGTATTCATACATCATTGAAAAAATTTAGAAAAAGTGAACATTTTCTAAAAAAGGATTTTTTTCTGGGGAGTACTGCATGGAAAAAGTGTTTGGATTGTGATCTTTAGTCATAAGTAACTCATTGCATCAAAATGATTCAATGTGCAGAGCTTAAAATTTTCATACATTTTACTGATATAAACTGTAATTTTTCATATATTATAAAAGAGATACTGTTTTTGAACAAATAGTAGTTTTTTAAGACCTCCAGTTTCTTAGTACTAGATTTATAAAGTAAATTAATAAAGATATAATCAAACCCTCAGGTACAGTCCTAGTGAAAGTCATGTTGTTGTTGTGAGGAGAGTACTTTTATTTAAAATTGTGTTCTGTTATAAAGAAGTGGTTGTTGCACATACCACAGTTATTTTTCTAATTGCCTGAATCTTGAATACTTAAATTGTGAAATTTTTTATAGATTTCAATTGATGGCACAAGAGTTTTGATTACATATATATATATATATATTGACATTAGGGATGCACAGGTAGTAAACTTTGGCTGAATACTGGGTCTAGGTACCAGGTCACTAAGCTTCGGTCGGGGCCGGGTGTCAACTGAGACCGGGTTCTCCTCTTGCCCCCCCCCTCAAAAAAATAAAACACACCAACATACACAAAAATTAGAAACAAAAAACAAAATTTATGTTTATTACATTTAACCGATTAATTACCCACAGAACATTCAAGTTTTATTTTCAACCTTCAATTCCTTGCCCCAACTTCTCAAACCTTAACCCCTATTGTTCTCTGAATCCCTAACTTTCACTGGGCAGTCAGTCTTTGTTGCTCGGAAAACGTGTTTCTTTTTTCTTTCTTTTTTTTTAAACTAAACCAATTATTGACTGTAACTTCAGTACAGTGTCAGTTGATACAAAGACTAGAGCTTAGATGCCTAACTTCGACACTCAGCCGGAGCAGAGTATTACTGGGTAGCCCATTATCTGGCCAGAGCCGATTATCTGGCTGGGTATCTGTGCATCTCTAATTGACATACATGCTGCATCCATTATAGTAAGATTGCTATATGTTAATTCTTGCCTGTGCTATTATGTAGGGATGATGTGAATGGCAACCCTACTATCTTGTTTGATTTGTTTTTGAAGGATTGATATTAGCCTTCCCTACATTTACTTCCTTTTTTTAAAAGTATTTTCTTTATTTGTTTGCTTGTTTTTTTGATACAGTGTTTCAGTATACATAGGAAGATTGTATTTATAACCAAGTTCTAAATACAATGAAGTTCCAACTGTAATATTTATTGTTTAGCTATTATTGGCTTTTTAAAGAAACACCAAATTTCTGTAAGAAAGCTAACTTCAAGGGGGTAATGATAACATTGTTTACACTAGAATTATGATTTTTACTACTAGTTCTTAATAATACTTATAAAAGTGGATACTCTGTTTGAAACTATGTCACCTCAGTGAAACTGGTTGACACTATTGATTTGGTTTTTGAGTTATTATGTAATAAAAGAGAAGCAGAAGAAAGAATAACAAGAAATTCAAACTTTTTGCTGTGATATTTACAAACATTCCCAGAACTTGTGACTCGGTCATTACATAGATGTTGTTATTAAAGGAAACACTGTATAGTATTGTAAAGTTCTGATGATCTATTGAGGAGATATTTAAAATACCATTTTGATGAACAATCTGAGCCATCCCTACATAGGCAGTGGTACCACCTGCCTGATATACATTTGTAACATAACTTACAAATAATTTTAAAACAAAATAATTGATTTGGCAAAATAAACTGATAAAAAAAGTCAGAGTGCATTCTGGTTATATCAGTTTTTTTGGTGACAGTGAAAAAAAGGTCAAGAATTTGGTACAATAAAAGTAGTTTTATGTTTCCAGATAGAGAAATGAAAAGTAATAGAAAAATTCAGATGTCACCGAGAAATGCATATACTTACATATAAACGTATATGATTAGCTTTTGTTGTTATATATATTTCACATGTAATGGTTAGTCTGAAAGGTGCTCACTAACTCTCCAATAGAATTATTCCAAAAATATGCAAAACTACTTGGAGCTAAATTTTTGTTTCGTGTGATTTGTGCAAGGTTATTCAAGGGCTAGCTGTCCCTAATTTTAAACTGAATAGTTAGAAAGAAGACAACTACTCAGCATCACCTACTGCAAACTCTTAGGCTTTTCTAATCAAATATTGCAATTTGACCATCATTCTTATAATGTACCTGTGGCCCCAAAGTGTAAATATGATTTTTATTTTTGAGGTAATTTGTTGTAAACCAGGGACTATGACATCCAAAGCCCTGCATGCTAACAACTTGGTTATGTTTGGCTTGCAACTATGTAGAAATTATTAATATTGTGAAAAACACTGTGCTGTTGATTCATTGAAAATCAATAAGTAACTATTAAATGTGTGACAAAATTTATTTGTCTTTAAAACCTGTTTACATTTTCAACTACATATTATTATTATTTATTCTTTCCATAATTACTGACTAGTTATTATGACTTCATGGAATGCAATTACTTTTATGAATCCTTAGGCTGTTTATGATCCAGTTTTTCCGGTATGTTCAAAAACAGGATTATTATGTTTATGATAAATTTTGTTTTTGTTATTAAAAATAAAAATATATTACTCTTAATCTGTTTTTTTTTGTTGTTGTTGTTATTTACATATATATAAAAGAGTTGTTGCTAATATTACTTTTAGTGCACAAACTTCAACATAAAAAAATACTTTTTTTTTTTTCTAAAGTAAATTGAAAAATGTTATTAATAATATTTACAAAGTTAATTAGACATTATAGATTTAAGGACTCAGTTTTACAATAACTACAACTGTGTCTAGCCATGTTTTAAGTAAAATTTTATGATGATGAAGAAGGAAAGCCTAAATGTTTTTAATCAATACTTATCTAAAGGTGAATGTTTTACACAAGATGAAATGGAAGAAATGCTTTCTGCTGCTGTGGATCCTCAATCAGGTCACATCAACTACAAGGAATATGTCTCTCATTTGGTCTCTGAGAATCTGTGACATTTGCAGTGCAGCTTATATTTCTGATCTCATTTTACAATACTGTTCATAAATCACATATTAATTTATATGTAGATATCTTTCACTTACACCCATGTTCAATTAATTAAGCCTCACTCAGTCTTTAGTTCATTTTTCAGAATGAAAAAGAAGATAGTATTATATTCTAAAAATGCTAATCTAAAGTATTGATAAGATTCACAATTTAAAAAGAAGATTATTTTTCTAGATCTGTAAGATGAGTTGCATTTAAACTGATGTGTTTATGTATTTCAGACTAGTTTGTTTTTATATATGTAAGAGCCTTTTGGCTTTTTTTTTATTTATGTACTTTGTTATTTTGTTCAAAATAAACAACTTACACCAGTTTTTCTTATTTTGGTTCACCATGGTTAAAAAGTCATTTTGAAAAACATTTTAAGGTTTAAAAAATTTATAAAGAATAAATCTAATATAATCCTAACACATTAGGTTATGAAAAATAAAACAGAAATGGTTTTTAGGTGAAACAATTTAAACCACCAAGTGACCTGACTTTTTTTTCTTTATTTGCCTGCATGGTTACCTAAGAAAGTAATGAGGGCAAATGTTCATCACATGACTTAACTCTTAGTCACACAGTTAACAGTATTTATTCTGAACAACAATATCCTGATCACTAATTAAAGAAGAAAGAACATTCTACCAGCAACTACAATGTTACCTGCACACACCTGAGAACTATGCTATGTGTGTGTATATATATATATATATACACATACATACACCCCCAACCTAAGTGAATAAGTTTTATTTAGATATTTATCTATTCCTATTATGTTTTCGAGTCTCATGCAAATGCTATAATTTTTGTTGAGATGATGATTGATTTATCCTGTCAATGTAAACTAGTTAAAAATGTTACCATTACCTGTGATTATTAATAATGTCTATTCAGGTAGTAGTTGTCATCTAAAGTAGTCCTGCAATGAAAGTGTTCCATGTAAAAGCTTTGTGCTCGCAACTTTCCTTATTTTAGAGTTATAGAGAGCGTGAAAGAGCAGTATGTTAAACCTCATAAGGAATATTCACTGTTATGAACTACTAACAATGTGAGGTATTTTACTCATCCTGTGTTCTAAAACTGAAAGGAGTGGTGGATTTATACACTGCCTGACAACATTATTTGGAATATCTTTCCTTTGGCCATGATTCTGGATGGCATAGGTTCAACAAGATCTTATGTATCTGGAATAGTGGATGACCAAGTATCTATCAATGCACCCAACAGTTGACCCTCTGGTGTTGGCAGTGAATCCTACATTCAAGCTCATCCCACTGATATTAACTAGTTCACACCACTACATAGTGTTCTAACTGTGAGTGCCACACAATGTGGATTCAATGTTTAGTGAGATTTTCTCCATGCCTTATCTGTCCCAGCTGTGTTAAACTGTTTAAATCTGACTATACAACATTGTTCCAATCATCTACACTCCATTCCTATTTTCTCTCTAGCACTATTGAGTTTCTACGTATTTATATACAATAAGGTATGCGCAATTCAGAGAATAGGCCAAAATATTTCTTATTAATAGTTTTCTTGCAAAAGCTATGCCTAAAGCATGTTGACTAGATAAATTTGTAGGGTCTTTTTTTATTTATTATATATTCATTATTTTTATTTTACATCACAAGCCATGTGTAACAAAACATGTAAAATCACATTTTTTAATGATGTCCAAGTTAATTTTTTGACCTCAAGTACTTGTTGAGATAACTAAGTAATTTCAAGAGGTATGGCTGTAGAACAATATGATTTGAAATTAGAAATGATCTCAGATTTTGATATTTAATTTGGTCTAGAGAAATATAATATCCTGTACTTAAAAGTGTATGGTTGAACACAACTAAAAAAGGAGAATTTATTACCCATATGGTTTTGTTGCCTTCAAATTATCAAAAACTATTTTTTCCTTGTTTTTTTAAATACAGCTTGTATACTTGCAGTCTAGTTTTTCAATTGTTAGAATATTGGTAACTCTTTATGAAATTAAATTTCTTAACCTTGAGTTACTTTGATATCCTATACTAATGTTTAAATTTGTCTTGTATTTTAAATCAAATGCCTTTTCCATAATCTGAGTTGTTAAGACGATGTGGAATTACATAAAAATATTGGTAAAAACATAAGGGAGGAGGGAAACAAATTTGGGATAATATGCCTTTCATATTTTGATAATTATTCAATTTAAAATTGTCCACATGCATTATGTGTGTGTTTATCTTTTGCATTGCTTTAAATTTTGTTTTGAATCAGTGTGAGCAACATTAAACAGTAGTGATTCTGAATTTATTGAATATTAATTTATTACACTCAATGTTATTATATGTATTTGGAATATTTCTTTAAAATATTTATCCCTGTACATAAGACCTAAAAATATCAGGTATACTTTATCACTGTTTATGTAATTTTGGATGTTCTTGCATGAATTTGTTAATGTTATCTAGATAACCCTTAACACTGTTGACTCGGTAAATTGTGGTCTGTTTAAAGATGTTAGATTATTTTAGTAACTGTACTTCATGTAAAAAATGCACTGCAGTTAACTGAAATGACCAGCCAACTTTAGCTTCTACTTTAAACATATCAAGTCAGCTGTCTTCTAGCTCATTCTGTGCTAATCATTTGTTTGTGAAGTTGTTATTTCTGCTGATTGTGTGCTTATCTTCCTTCAAGTGATTTAGTACCAACTGTCTTTTAGTTTATTCACAAGTAAAGTTTATTTTATTTCAACAATTTATAAAATACAGTTTACATACAATCAATTTAACTGTACAGTAGTCTTTCATTCAAACAATCCGCCAGCTCTCAATCCATATTTTTTCAATAAACAATGTATTCAGTTTTTATTCAACATCACATTATGTCTTGTCTCTCTATTTCCATCTGATACCAATTATTAAATCATGGCCTTTTGCTTACTAGGTCCACAAATCCCCAGTTATTGTGAAAATCAGGTAACTTTATGCTTGAATAATACCATAACATTCAGGCTAACTTGTTCTGGTTGGATACTGAAAAGAACCATTAGGCCTCTCTACTTAATGCTATATTATTGCTATTTCCAGAGATTAGCTTTATAAAATCAAACCCATCACTTGTTAATTCAAATTCACCTTTTAATTATTTTCATTCACTGTTTATATATTTATGTTTAATTTTATTGGGTTTTAGTAAACAACTAGATGTGATGACCCTATTTTCCATTGTGCTCTCTGTTGTAAGAAATTTAAATCATGTTTTTTGTTGTTTTTTTAATTTCACACATGAATATTATTTTGTTTTCATTTAATATACCATTAAGGATGTTATCAGTGACATTTCACATATGGCTGCTATAGTAAGACAGCCCCCAGTAAGCACATATACAGTCTTACCTGTAGAAAAGCAGCCTTTTCAAATAATACAAATATGTCTAAAACATTGCTTTAAATAAAGCTTCATGTCTTTTAAAGTAATTATTTGCTATGCTGGGTGGATTTGTGCCTGAAGTTTCATGTAAACACGCATTTAACATGTTGAGTACAAAAGCAGCCGCTCAGAACAACATAGCATCTATTATGTATTTATAACCAAATAAATCAACATTTAAGTAGATCATGTACATATGCAGCAATTCATATATTATACCTGTCTAAGTTTTGGTGCAAAATTCCCAGCCAATTTTGTTGTAAACTTGAGAAACAATAATAATATGAACAAGTGGGTGATTTGCTGATGAAGAGAAGTCCATTTTTAATACTAGTATATTTCACTTTCTACTCTGAGTAAACATATTACCTAATAATTTTTCTGTACTATTTATATTTTATTGCTTTTTTCATTTAAGGTTTTCATGCTCCCTGGTGGGACAGTGGTAAGTTTATAGACTTATAATGCTAAAACCTGGGGTTTGATTCCCTCACAGAGGTTGCAGCAGATAGCCCAATGTGGCTTTTCTCTAAAACAAACAAGGATTTTATCAGGCGATTTAGTTGTATGTGAAAGAATATCTCCACCAAGGATATTTAGTGACAATGAGGAATTCATTGACTTTTGAGGTTAATTTGTTAAGCTCGTTATTATATTTTCATCCAGATTTTCTCATTAATTTTTACCCATTGTGCTGTTTCTTCATTATTATTTGCTAAAGATAAGTTTAGGTTAAGCAAAGTTCACTTGTTAAAGGTAGTTTAATCATAACACAATGTTCTGCCTCCATTGTGAGACAGTTAAACTGTAAGTTTGGTAATGAGAGACTTCTTTATTATTCCAAACTTATGAGTTAGCTTTAATATATATATATATATATATGTTTGCAGTTAGATTTTCTAAGTGAAATTTTAATTGTAGTTATTCGAATTAGTAATTTTTATAACACTGGTTTTCAACATGATTTTAATTTTATAGACTTGAGATTTTAAAGGGATAGGTGTAAGATGTAAAAAATTGTCTTGTTTGAGGCATTTTGAGAAAAATATTGACAATAATGGGGATGTTGAAAATGTTTACAAACTGTTCATATTATTTTACTGGGCTTGTGCTCATACTGCCTTTAAAACTCTATCAAGTAAGTACTTGAAAAACAAATAAAAAACATTAGCTTTGCCATATCTAGCTGTGGTAATATTAAAATCAATAAATCCTGAAGTTTCACTTTTGCCAATTAGTATTCTGTCTGAACTACTGCTGTGATCAGGTGTACTGATGGCTCTACCCATTGAAAGGTAGGATTAAATATTAAGTGAAAAGAAAATAATTAGAATGTGATGAACACAAATTCATGTTTTGTCACAAAAGTTAGAGATAAATATTATGTGAAAGGAAAGTAATTATTATTGAGGATTGAACATAGAAGTTTTGCTCAATAATAATGTGAGTTTTTATAGTAAGATTTTTAATTACATGCCTTTTATGGTAAAAATTATACATTGAAATAAGCAATAAATCATAAAATGGCTTCTGATTGTTGTGATGTTTGTATAAAGCCTTTACCTTCTGATGGAGACTATGTAAAATGCAATGGAAATTGTAAAGGTTTACTTCACTATCAATGCAGTGGTTTGGCAGAGATGACATACAGATGTATGTGTGATGTCAAAAAAATGTCATACTGCTGTTTCACTGTTGAGAAGCCAGTAAACAAACAGAAAATTCAGGTTTAGTCAATGACAGAGAATCTACCTTGAAAGCAAGTAACAACAGAAGTCAAGTAAATAACTGTAACTAAAACAACTAATTCATTCATATACATGGAAACTGAAGGCCAAGACAAGATCTAGAAAGTCAGCTAGGTCTGGATATGATTGATTGCAATTTATAGAATCCAATGGTCGTCACTATACTCTAAAATATAAGCAAAAAATTAAACGTGTTAGATGAAGTAAAAATGGGTATAAATGAAATCAAAGATTCCATAAACTTTGTCAGCTAAGTATGATGAAATACCCTTAATAGAAGTCTCAAGCATGCAGAAGATATCAAAATTGTAAAAAAAGGATATGGAAAGTTTCAAGATTAATAATATTTAAAATACTAACTTAACTTCAAAATAATTGATTCAAGTTAATAATAAGGAACAGTATGAATGAAGAAGCAAGTTAGAGGTTTGGTTTGATGTGAATTTCGCGCAAAGCTACACGAGGGCTATCTGCACTAGCCATCTCTAATTTAGCAGTGTAAGACAAGAGGGAAGGCAGCTTGTCATTACCACCCACCGCCAACTCTTGTACCAACGAATAGTGGGATTGACCATCACATTATAATGCCCCCATGGCTGAAAGGGTGAGCATGTTTGGTGGGACAGGGAATCAAACCCATGACCCTCAGATTGGGAGTCGAGCACCCTAACCACCTGGCCATGCCGGGCCAGCAACTTAAGAGACACATGGAATAAAACCACAAGATAAACAAGGAACTAAAAAATATTCTTCAGAGGGTGACTCAAGATTTTCATGTACTAGATTATAAAAAAAGAGGAAGTATTAATAGCCCAAAGTATAATAATAAAATGATAACCTATATTAGTTAAATTCAAGTGTTTTTGATAAACAGAAATGGTTGAGAAATAAGAATTATTTTGGAAGAATAGAAAATTATTAAAAGAAAAAAAATGGTAATGATTTTGCAAGAAAAGCAGAAACTGATAATATAATAAAATTAAATTTGGGTAGCAATTTTGTAAACTTATAATTTAATCTTTTCTTTTTATTTCTATAATCTATGAATATTATTCTGATATTTATACTGATATAAACTGTGAAAAATGAAGGTATAAATGATGCTAATTGTAAATTAGAACATATTGAAGATAATATTTTGAATCTGTTACATATAATTATTAACAATATTCACAATAAATAGGATAGTTTTGTACAATTGTTGGTGAAGTTTTAATATTATTAGATATTTTAATAATCAGAGAGACACTTACAAAAACATGAAATTCAAAATTATAATTTGGAGGGTTATGAAAAACTTTATGAATGTAGGAATTATAAAGGAGGAGGAATCTTAATTTATTTTAAAAACATTTATCTCTAGAAATAGTGAAATTAAGTTTCGAAAATGCAGAAATATTATCATTTACTGTTGAGGTAAATGATTTATAGACCTCCAAATTATAATTCTTATCATTTGGAAAAATTACTGAATGAATTAAAAACCTATAAGCATATAGTACATCTTGGTGACATTAATGATAAAAAATAGGAATAATGAAAACAGTAATTTCATAAATGACTATCAAAATTTGTTGTATTTTAATGGATTTCAGTAAAAATATAAATGTTAACACGAGATCAGAATGGAGATGTAATAACTTATGTGATTAAGGAAAAGTACCAGATCATAGGATGATATTGGTAAATGTAAAAAGCAGTATATAAAAAAAGACTATAAAACAAACTATGATAGAGAGTATAAATAATGTTTTAATGATTAATAAAATCAAAATAAGTAGTATTATAAATGTTATAAACAATTAATATTTTTGATAACGAATTTATAATTATGATAAATGCTCTAAAAGTCATCATAATAAGGCAGATAACAATAATATCTATGTTATAAATAGAAATAATTATCTTAAAAGTATATTCTAACAAATTAGTAAAATTTATTTCCGTCCAATAACAGTAGAAAAAGTTATTAATATAGTAAATGCAATGGATATTAACAAAGGACCAGGAGTTTATGGTTTGCTGTTAAGGTACATAAAACCATATATTGATTTATTAGTGTTTTAGCAAAGGTTATAACATTCCTATTCAATTTAATCTACGAAAAAGAGAAAATACCTGATGGACTTAAAATATTAGTGATAAAACATATTTGTAAGTCAGGAATTAAGAAAGATTTCAATAATTATAAACCAATTTCAACTTCACTTGTAATTGAAAAAATAATGGAAAGGTATGCATATAACAAAATGTTGGACTTTACTGAAAAAATAATATTACAAACAATTATCAATATGGATTTGTAAAAAATAAAGTATAACATTACTTTTAGAAAAAATTTCAAAAGATTTGAATTTACAATTAGATAAAAATAAAAAGGTATTTGTGTTATTTTTTGATTTAAATAGAGATTTTCAAACATTAAATCATAAAATACTACTGGAAAAATTATACTTGATGGGTATAAAGGGAAGCTACATTGGTTTAAGAATTGAGTAATAGGGTTGCGGTAACAAGAATTGGGGAAATAATTAGTAATCCAGTGACTTTCAAAAATGTTACACAAGGTTTTATTTTGGGTCTATTACTATATAATCTGTATGTTA